AAATACATATAAAATGTATTTTATTATTATTTTATTTATATCTAATGTTTATTAAAATATAAGTTTATATTTATTTAGTACTTATTTTTTTTATTATTTTAAATAGGAATAATATCAGTCATTTTTACTAATTTACTTATATTAGTATTTAATTTTTATTCATTTTATTAGAAATAATATATATTTCTTCTTTTAAAATTTTAGAATTTCTTGAGTTTTTTTTTTTTTTTAAATTATTATATTGTCTATAATTTTTATTATATAAAATTTTATTTTTTTCTTGATTTTTTTAGTTTTATTATTATTTATAAAAATTTTTTAGAGATCTACAATTTATTGCTTTTTTTAATTTAAGCTTTTTTAATAAAAATTGTTTAATATTTGTATTTTTTGCTATTTTATTCATAAAAAGCATTTAAATTATTTTTGTTTAAAATGTTTTTAATATATTATATTATTTATTTGTTTTGTTTAATTCCGTTTTCATATATAAGTTCTCTATACCTTCATGTTTTTTTAAGTTTTTCCTTAATTTTTATATTTATATATCAATTTTTAATTTACTTGTATTTATTTATTAAAAAATGCTATTTTTTTTATAAAAAATTATATTTATTTATTATATTAAGATAAAAAGTGTGTATATTTTGTTAATATTATATAACTTTTATAGATGATATTGAAAATACTTTTTCATATTTCTATCTGATTTTTTTATATATCTTTAGCAGTTTCATATTTTATATTATATTTAAAATGCTGTTTTTATATACTATATATAAATTCTTTTTTATTAATTTATTTTTATATTATCATTTATTTAAATAAATATACCTTATTTTTAATAACCTTATTCTACATTTAATTTAATATTAAAAAAAATTGTCTCTATTTAAACTAATATAGTCTTTATTTATTTTATAAACTAAATTATACAGTCAGATATATTATTCCATTTTGTTTATTCGGATATTAAATTTAGCTTTATTATTATATTATTTATGTATTATTTTCAATTTTATTAATTATAGTTTATTATTATTAGTTTTTTTTTTTTTAATTTGTTTTTATTAATTAAGTTTTCTTTTTTTTTTTAAAAAAAAAAAAATGCAACATATAATTATTACACAAAATCTCAAATATTATTTTATTTATTTTTAATAAAAAAATAAAATGTATATATATATATAATTTTTTATTTTTTTCCCTCTTATTTATAAAAATCACTTTTTAATCTCTTGAGCTTAAGCATTTTCTGGATTATTTTGTAATAAATATTATGCGACAAATTCTATAGGATTACTTGGCCTTTTATTTTTTATAAATAGTATTATATATTTTAAGGTTTTTTTAAATTTAACTTTTCTCTAACTAATTCTGTTAAAGCTTGTAAAAGTAAAGGAACAACTGTTTAATCTAAATATGCTCTAATTGGTAAATTTTAAAGTTAATTTTTTCTCTATTTTTTATATGAATTTATTTTAATTTTTTTTTTTTTAATAAACATCTTCTTCTAGTTTGTCGGACATTTTATATGTTTTTTTTTTAAAAAAAAATAAATAATTTTCTTTATTATTGAAAAAAAATATATTTATTTCTTTTAATTTTTATTTTTTAAAAAATATTAATTTATAATTAAAAAAAATTAGATAAGTATAATATTTTATAAATATTCATAAATTATATAATTAAAAGAAATGATGATATATTAAAATGATATAAAAGATAAAAATGAAATGATATTATAATTATATTGTTAAATGATTATTAATTATATAAACAAAATATGAAATATAATTATTTATAAGTATATATATATATAAAATTTTTATATTATATATATAGAAAAATGATATGTTTTCATTTGTTTTCCTATTCAATCAAAAAATTCTTATAATAAAGGAGGAGCATGAGGAGGTGCTTTATTTTGATATACCTTTTCGTCCCAAAGGAAGCAAACTAAAATAGCCTACATACCCATTCCATAGACAGACAAGAAAATAATACTTATAGAATAAGAAACTAAAAAAACAATCTATGAAAATATTCATATAAAAATATAAATATACTATTTTTTTAAATACAATTAAAGGTAAAATTTTTGAAGAAACATCTGATTTATAAGGTTCAACATATTCCAAAACTAAGTAGGCTATAACTGTTGTAGCTCCAGATATAAAAAGTTTTCCAACAAAAATAAACATTCCTCCAATTCCATTTATTAACATATATCTATCTGCATTACACCAAACTAATGACATAGCATCTTTTGCGGCCATACAAAAACTTTTTCCAGCTAATGCAATCTAATATATATACATAAATTTACTTTATAATTTAAAAATATTATATACTTATATATAAGCATTCTATTCAAAAATTTAATAAATCTTTCAAAGCAACTCATATAACATTATAAACATTTTATTAAATATTTTGCAACTTTATTATTACTAGCACCAGCAGATTTCATTTATTTTTCCATATAAGCTAATAATATTCTAATAGACTACACAATCGCTAGTAATAAAGAACCGAAAGCTAAAGACCCTAAATGATATCTAAAAGCTCTGTATATTGAAGTTGATACAGGCGCATGCTTCTATCCTTCTTCTCCGTGTGAAAAATACCAAATACAAGCGGAACTCTAATATATATATACATATATATATATATATATATTAAATATATATTTAATATTTACAGCTGAAACAAATTAACAGAAAGTCTAAATAAAGGCATTAACCCAAAGTCCTATAAATAAGAAAGCCCAAAGGAGTTTTTTAACTTCTTCAGAATGTATAGGTTTTGCAAATATGGAATTTGGTGATTTTTTAATATTACCATCTTTATCAATTGCATATAAAAAAATAAAACCACAAATCCAAAACACCCACCATAATCCATTTAAAATAGTTACAATTGGAGGTACTAATAAAACAGAACAAGTATCTGTTACAAAAGAAGTAGTCGTTTTTATAATTGCTATTGCCTGTGCTATTTTTTTTCTGTAGCAAAACAAAAAAAATAGACTTAAACCTGCAAATGCCCATAATATATAGGCTAAATATAAATAAGATAATTAATTATCACGTGTTTTGTTCTATGCCTCACTATTATTTTCTAAATATTATTTTATATCCATTGAGCTTTTATATGAGTAATAACCAAGACCAATTATCGCTATAAAGAATATTAATATGCAAAGCCATACAATTAAGCCGGCAAACAAACGCAAAAAAAGCATATATAACATTCCTAATACAAATGCGCAGCCTAAAGAACCTACTAATACCCACTAACAGGTCTTTAAATCATTAATCCAGTCTCCTAATGTACCCGAACTCATAAATGTATTTACTTGTTTTTAAGCACTACCACCTATAGCTTAAAATGCTTAAGTAGTTGGCATGCATATTAAATCTAAAACTATATATAAATAAAAAAATATATATATAATAAAATATATATATGTATATGTATATGTATATGTATATATATATATATATATATATATATTATAATATATAATTTATTATGATATAATAATATATTTTTTTTTTTTATTAAATATTATTTTATAAAATATATATATTTATAAATTTATTTCTTTATTAATATATTTTTTTTTTATTATTATATTCACATTAATTTATATATTATATTTTAGGAATAAAGTTTTTTTATATTATTTATATTAATTACATTTTTTTGTTTCATATATACAGACTGTTTGTAATAAATTATTTTTAGATGTCAAAGACATTAAATTTGAAACATCTAAATCACAATTTTATTTATGACATGTTTATTCTGTATTTTTCATTGAAGTAGTATCACAATCTATTTCAATGTCATTTTTAGTAGGACATTCTTTTACACAAGTAGTGTATGTTAAATAATTTTCAGCTGATCCATTATAATATGGAATGTAAAAATATAGATATTTTCTATCTGATTGATAATCTAAACCACATGGATTACCTTTTTTTTTGTTATATTATATTATAAGTATTTTTATATCTACCAGCTGTGTTATATACAGCAAACAAACGTTTAGGTTAACCGTTTATTTAACCGTATGCGAACAAAACAATGCAAGCTACTAAAGTCGCAATAAATAATAAACAACATAATATATCTCTACATTCACGTTAGTTTATAGGACCGTTTTTTAATTCTTCTTCTTCTTTAGCAGATAATCCACCTTCTGCCATTACTTTTACTTTATTATACATTATATTTATATAATTTATATATTTTTTTTAAAGAGAAATTATATTTAATTTTTATTTTTTGTTTTTAAAATTTTCTAATTATGAAATTTTATTATGTTTATATCAAGAAGTCAAACAAAAAAATGTTATATATTTTTAAATTATTATTATAGTAATATAAAATAAAAATTACATCGTAATTTTATTAAAAACTCTATATTATTATTTAATATGTTATAAATTTAAATGAATATTAAGTAAATACTAATGTTATATAAATAGTTTATAAAAACATTTAAATTTTATTGTGTTTATTTTTTAAAAATATATATAATATTTATAATTAATAGAAATTATGGCAAGTAAATATTTATAAAATTATAATAGAAAAAAAAATATATATATATATTAAATTAAAAAAAAAAACAGTAAATAATTAAAAAATAAAAGATAATAATAAAATAAATACATTTAATGAAGATTTCATATAATTTAAATAATATTTTTAAAATAATTTATTTTATGAATAAATATTTATTTCTATATAATAATCTTTTATAAAATAATTTATTCAAAAAAAAAATTTACAAATTCAAAAATATATATTGTTAAAAAAATTTAAGGAAGCAATATATAATTTTATTTCGCTATTATCATATAAATATATATATATATATATGTTTATATTTTTAAGCATTTGTATTTTTAAACTTGGTATTATGTATGGAATTTAATATTGATAATGTATTTTTTTTATATAAATTTATTTCATATAACGTTTTTTATTTCATGCATGTGTTTATTTTTAAATATTGATATTATATTAAAATTTATTGAATTACGCCGATAACTGTAAATTAATAGGATAATTTACATTTAATTTAAAATAATGGTAAAAAATACTATTATAATAAGTTTACTTGAATAAAATAACTAAATGAATAGAGTGTTTTATTAATAATTATTATTATTATATAAAAAATATTAATTTCAACGATAATTTTTTTTATACGAAATTTTTTCTTTTTTTTTAGAAATTTAATTTTAAAAAAATGAATTAAAAAATTTGCTTTTTTTAATTTTACCTGAAAATAAAAACTGGCGAAATCTTTAAAAAATATTCTCAAATTTTAAATATAAGAAATAACATAAATTTAAAAAGAGCTTATCTAAAAATAATATTTTATATATGAAAATATAATATTCTTTCTTTAAATAATATAAACGAAAGTTTATATTAAAAAGAGTATATAATATAATAAGGGAAATATAATTTTAAAATGATTGTTAAGAATGAAGATAATAAAAAAAATATAAATAAAATAATAATAATATAAATAATTATAAAAATATAATAAATATTATTAATCAGAAAAATTAAGGATTATTATCAAGAAAATATAACAATTATAAAGAAATTTAAGATTATAATATTAGTTTCGTTAAAATAAAAAAATTATGTTTTTTAAGTGATTAAAATACAAATCATGACATTTAAAAAGTTAATAAAATTAATAGAATAAATACTAAACTAATTAAAATATATATATTATAAATAATTTGAAAAAAAATAATTAAAATAAATAAAATGAATGATTTATGAATTACTCATTATTTAAAAAAAAAAATATTAAAAAGTTATTTAATTAATATATTATATTGATTTTAAAAATAAAGAATTTTATGTTTTATAATGATCACATTTATTAAAAAAATATTTCATTATAAAATTAAAGATTATTTTCGTAATTTTTTATGAAATTTAAATAAAATTTCAGAAAGATAAAATAATAATAGAACATAAAAATATTTAAAAAAGTTAATATTAAAGAAAATAAAATATAAAAAGAAAATAAAATTATTATAAAATATTATAAATATATATAAATATATATATATATATTTATATATATTTTTATATAATTATGTATATTTATATTTATTTATATTTATATATATATTTTAAATATATATTTTTTTTATGATAAAACAATTTTTTTTTCATTATATATAATTTTTTTTATTAATATAAAATTTAAAATATTATGTAATAAATTTATTTTTTAAACAAAAAAAATTATAAATTAAATAATTTATATTTTTTTTAAATGTATTATATATATCATATTTTAAGTTTTTTTACAATATTTTTAAATATATTTTAAAAATATATATAAGTTTTGTGATATTGTATTTTTATTATTACTTTTTATTTAATTTTTAAATTATTATTTTTTTTTTTTTAATATTTTTTTTTATAGAAATTCTTTCTAAATTATCTATTTTAAATTTTTATAGGAGATTAATATAACCTTGTATATATTAAATATTTCTATTTAAGATATATAAATTTACACATTAATCTACAAATTATTATATATATTTTTGACTACATATAATGTTTCAACTATTTAATAAAAAAAGAAACGAAATAAATATTATATAAAAAATAATTGATTAATTTATTATATTATTTGAATAATTAATGAATTTTTACTAAATTACTACAAAGTGGATATTAATATTATAATATTATTTTTTTTACTTTAATATGCGATTAGTATTCATTTAGTCTTCATAATTTTTCTAAATAAAAAAATAAAATTTTGTAGTGTTTTAGTATAACTTTTTAATTTTTTTTATATTTTTATATATAATTTATATCTTAATAAAATATATAGTATTATTATTCTTTTTATTTAATATAATAATTTATTATTTGTTTTTCTTGTTAATATTTAAACTAAAAAAATTAATAACTAATTTGAATATAATTTTTTAGAAAAATATTAATTTTTTCTCATAAACAATATAATAATAAAAATAATCTTATAAAATAGCATTTAAACTATGTAATTTTTTATTCATAAATATGTAAGAAAAAAATAATATAT